CCTCTCGATTCGCAAAATTAACCAAATCCATGACCCCTCCCTGTTCTCAAACACAGCCTCTCCTGCATATCAAGCCCACCGATCGTATTCATCCCGTCTCCGACGTGCAGGTCTTGTCAGTCGGAGCTGAGATGCGGAGAAGCCGGCGATAAGGAAGAAGTAGTAAGAGGAGACATGGATGGAAAGGGGAGGGAGGAAGGGGGGATAATAATAATGACATGGAAGCGACCGAGTGACACCGACCGCTCTTTCTCCCCGGTCGCAGTATGCAATCAACCCTAAGTCGCCGGGGGAAACAGCGGTGATGAGACAGAAGCGTGGCTTGCATGATCTGCAGTTCTCAGTCTGACACGCCCGGGACTTCGAGTCGCGATTCGAGCAGGGGCAGGACCAAGACTTTGCGGCTCGCGGGCGCCGTGCACTCTTACAGGTCCAGCGTCCGCTCGGGGGGAGAAGGAGGAGGGGAGAATGGGGCAGGGCAAACGATCCCAAGTCCGTCCGTTCGGGGGGTTCAGTCAATTGTTCGTCTTCGTTGGTGATCGACGCACGTGTTGTAATCTGCTAGTAGCGGCACTAGGCCTCGAGTCGGTCTAGTCTCGACAGGTTGATGCGCTTGGAATTATCCTACTGGTCAGTGGGATAATCGGATCCCATACTCCTACTCCTGGTCCTGGTCCTGGTCCTGGTCATCGTCATCTTGGGGACTTTGATTTAGGGGGGAGGGTGACCAGGTGCCGGGTCTGATGCAATCCACCGCTGGAATTGGAGCTGGCACCGGCAGAGGATGAAGTGACGATGATAAAAATAATCCTCCCTAGTGAGCGGGTGATCCCTCCCGTGCGACCCAGGCCATTATTAATGTCGCACGACCATTATTAATCGAGATGGATTTTCTAGACGTCTCTAGACAGGTACTCCGGAGTAGACGCTGAGGTATTCGGACTTCGTGTTCGGCGGAATCAATAATCATTGGTAATGGAGAAGATGAGAGATAAATGAGTGCTACCTACTCCATACTATGGAGTGGTCCCTAGGTACACAACTACACCGACTAATCGGGTCTAGCGTGCCTACCATGTGGCCTGGCGTGGGTCGGCCCCGATATCGTTCATTACCGCCCATTACGCGCCCAGGCAGCAAGGCTGTAGCTACCAGCTCTACCTTGGTATCAGAGTAAGAATGTCATTCAATTGGAGTTTCACTCCCATGTCTCTCAGTCTAGTAGAAGGCACAAAGAAGAGCGAGATCAAAGAAAAAATCAATCACGTGTTATGCGCAAACCATAATAATAATAGAACAATCAGAGCATTAAAGAAAAAAGGAAAAACTAGTAACACAGCAAAGATGCCCGGCCCCACGGCCCATAATCTAAACTCCAAGGCACTCTGCGCGGCTGCAAAACTAGGCAGGAATCCAGCTCGACTGATGGTCCTGCAGCCGCCCCATCTAAACCACAAGGAAGAAAAAAAAAAAAGAAAAAAGAAAAAAGAAAAAACAGAACAAAGCAACCCAATGATCCCGAATGTCTATAGTGTTCCCTTGCCATGCAAAAAACTGAAACCACAATAAAGAGAAGAGAGAAGAAGAAAAAGAATGGAACCAAGACTCCCCTTATCCGTATCCGTCCGTTACATGTATCCAGTCATGCTCATAATGATTCCGCTGAAGAGAGAGAAAAGAAAAAAGAAAAGAAAGTATTCAGACATTGGCGCAAACAGAAATGGATGGAAAAAGTGACTGGAGATAAGATTAGCTTTGGCTCGTACCAAGGAACCCGTCCGAAGGTTCTCACCTCAAATCATTTCACGTGCTGGCAGCCGGAGCAAACAACGTGATTGCACATCACACAGCGTGGTTGAACGTTGTAGATCTTCGGGCCGTCATTGCATTGACAGCAGATGTACATGTAGGTTTGGCTGTAGGTTTTGGCACCCTCGATGCCGTAGTTGGCGAGGTTGTTGGAGGGGCGATCAATCACCTCTCCGCCGAATAACGAAGGCTGTCGGAGGGAAGAGTCGTGCATGATGACTGGTGGTGACCCTTTCAATGGGCTGGAGGAGAGCTCGTTGCTCTGTACCGGGATGGGATACGGAGACATGGCGCTGCACATGTGTAGACCGTGGTGCGAGTGGGTTTCTTCGGACGTAGTCGAGGTGCGAGGAGATCCGCAGCGCATGCAAGATTTGTGAAGCTCGACGCTGTGAGGGCCAAAGTTGCAAGATTCGCAGTTCCAGTGGGAAGACATATTTGCGATTGAAGAGGTTTGAAAAGCGCGAGATAGATCAAGGTCCACGTTGGAAAGGCTGACAAGTTGAACGAAGTTGTAGAAGTTGTATTGCAAGGTCAAAGAGAGTCAGAGAGGGTGTATAATGGTAGGTATACTGCTGAGTATAGTGTTGTAGAGTCAAGGAAGTCAAGGAAGTCAAGATAGTCAAGATTGTTGTTGTTGTCTGGATGAATGTCAAAGAGGTGTCATCCTGCTTTTTATAAAGATTGAGAGAGCATTGTAGCAAGCATGAATCAGAGAAAGCCAGGCCAAGGCACCCTCACAAGGGCAGTGTGGCTTGAGAATCAGGCAAAAAGCCCTGTTGCCCCAATCGGGCTAAACCATCTAAATCATAGTCATCCTTTAAGGTGATCTCTCTTCAGCGAGCGACGGGGCGGTTTGAGAAGTAGATCATACCTCAGAGTCCGTGGCTTGGCGGATGTGGCCCTGGCCCTGGGGGTCCGAAAATGGTCGTCTAGATCGTGCCTCGCTCCCCATAGTACGGCCCTCTGAATCATATTGCTGCCGCATCTTAGTGGTATCACCGCCAGATCATGCACTCAGGTTGACTCAAGACCATTGTATGGGTCTCTGGACTGGCGGGTTTGGGCAAGGCTTGGACGCTCGTTTCGGGCCCAGGATGCCCTCTGGTCCCACCATTTTACCCTTGACCACCTACTATTGAATTTCTTTTTCTCTTTGTCTAAATTAAACAGAATAATAAATTAAAATTAAAAAATTAAACTCTTTTGGTCAAATAGAATAAAAACGAAAACAAAATTAAAAAAAATCCCCTGTTGTCAGATCTGCCCCATTGTTGATTATTTTTTTTAATTTCCATTTTTTCCAAAAGATTACCGACCCTGCCTGGTAAGAACGCCTACCTGATTGGAGCGACAAGTGACAACCACGGAGTCCGTACGACTTCTAGTCCTTCTCACTACTAACAGTAACAGTCAAGTCTCCAGTCTCCACTCAAGTCAAAAAAAAAATCATTCCATTTTTTCAAGGCTTCCAGGCTTCCAGGCAACGATGGCAGCTGATACCTGATTACTAGGCCCCCTTAACCCTGTTGGAACTTTTGCATCTCTGACAGATACAGCTCGAGAACCTTCGGCTTCTGACCGTTACTTCGGCCTCGATTTGGCAGTGCAGTCGTCATTTTCTTAGACGTTCTGTCGGTCTGGAGAATACGACTAAGCAGGCATCCCTGTTGCTGCCTGCACCCTGGTGTGGTCACCTGCCCTTGCGGCTCTTCAATGACTGTTCGATCATTTCGGACTACCGATTCCTTCGACGGCCTGAGGTTGACGTAGTTTGCTCTGTTTCTACTTTCTGCTCTGCCGCTCTATCCTTTCTCCCCACTAACTAGACTGATCGCAGGCAAAGATAATACAATGTACTAAGCAAAACACACAACACACATCACTGTCATCATCATCATACATAATCCTAGATCGTCAGAATAAAAAAGCCTGCTGAGAGATTATTCAGCCCCGGTAAGCGCCGACATGCTTGTCACCATCACCAACGGCGCCTATGATGGATGTATCACCAACAGTCCACGTTCCCTATTACCAAACTTTTCTTCTCGTTCTTTCTGTCCCTGAAGGGCTTCAAAACACGGGATTGTGCGACCGACTTTATTTTTATCCCGATATTTTTATCGCCCGGTCTCTGACCCGATCTCATGTCAGTTTCCTCCCCGACATTCCTCTTTCGTCCTTATGACTCGATCGCGATTTTATTTCCAGAACAGTTTCAGCATTCCATTCCGGTAAACATTCCGTGGACCTGACAGGCCGTTGGACCCAGGGCCCCCTCGTGTGTCCTGGTCCTCCGGGGCGGGAACATTACACTCAGTAGCTTGATGGTATAAAGTTGTTTCATTCTAATTAAAGACAACATTCACGGTTGGGGGCCGCTTGAGTCTTCAGCTGCGTCCGGCTCGCTTGATGACCCCAGTACGAACCAAATTCCGTGCCGACTCGTTGTCAATTGCGACTAGGTAATTTCGCCAGAGCTCCGGAAAGGGGAAAATACGGATCGCTGAAGCTAAACCCGTCATCCTCGTGCTGATGTCGTGGAATTCGACAGGGGAGCGCATCCTAAGCTAAGGGGCAGGGCATGGCATCCTGCACCATCCGGGAGGGGTTGATTACAACCACCAGATAATTAGAGACGATAAAAACAAAAGTGTACATTGTACATAATTCCGGCATCATCGGCACATAGTTAGTACCTAGTAGTGACTGATTGAGTAATTCCCAATGGAGATGACACCAAAAATATCCTCGCCAAGGTCTCGGGACGGACATGGCTGCCTGGGGGTGTACGAAGGCCACGTTGGCTTCCATCTCGACACGATGCATCTCGCAGATGTTCGGAGAGAGCATCGAGGATCTGAGACAGACACAAAAAGAAACAACCTGGGGATCCTCGGAGAGCCATCACGTGCTGTACGTCATCCGCCGGGGTTTGTCTGGTTTGTCTGGTTTGTCCCGTCACGTTCCTAGTTTGACTGCAACGTCGTTGCCTCATCGTCGTCACCTCGTTCCAGGCAGACATCATCATCTAGATCTGGACCCGATGCTATAGTCTTTCGTCCCGGTATCTCAGCATAATTACTCGCTTCAACTAATATGGACGCGGTTGGGACCTCCGTCAGCTGATCGTTTCCCACCGACCCCCTCAATGCGGAGATAGGCGCAAAGTCTCCTCCGACCTCTATCTCATGGCGCGCCCAGACCGGCGCGTGAATTTAGCTGTAGCTAGAGTTATTCCTGTGGTCTTGCTAGGCGCAGTGATCTATGCTTCCTATGCTATCACCAAACCACTATGCAGTGAGTCTTCCTGACCCGCCCTCCTTTTTTTCGTCCCCTTTCTAAGTCAAGCGCGTCATATCCAGTCGACTACCTCCTCCATCCTCTTCCGAAGTATGATCGTCGTCCTCGAACTGGTGCTGGTATCGCCATCATTGTGATATACTACGTACTTCTCTTTCCGGTCGTCGCGACATACATTCGACTTCTATATAATGTCATTTGGAACCCCGGGTTACTGCCTCGAAAGTCCCCACCTGCCCCGACTTCGCAAGGCGCCGAACGACCGCATAGCCGTCGACGAGATAGCCAAGGACGGAGACGGAGTCATGAACCAGCGAGGTCAACCGAGAAGTTCGAAGGTGCCGGCACCGACGTCGAACAGGGACTAGAGTATAATGCCGGAAGTCCGGCCTTCCAGATAGACCTGGCGGGGCTGGAAAACTTTTACAAGAAAGATGTTTTCGTTTGCCAGCCGGATGGACGGCCTCTCTATTGCTCTACGTGTTGCCATTATAAACCAGATCGCGCGCATCATTGTCGCGAGGTGGACCGGTGTGTCCGGAAGATGGACCACTTTTGTCCATGGTGAGCAGTATCGGATCGTCAAGAGGTGAACCAAGGCTTACAATTTCCAGGGTCGGAGGTGTTGTCTCTGAAACATCGTTCAAATTCTTCATTCAATTCGTCTTCTATACTATGGTTTTTTGCCTATTTTGTTTAATCGTGTGCGCGTACTTTGTCGCCGAGATAAAACGAGACGTGAGTTTGGCCTTTCTTGCTTCCTGGACCTGTTCTAATATGGACTATAGAGTGGCTCTGTTAATCCCCATTGGGCTGTTGGTATTGGACTGTAAGTTATTTCAGGACGGTCGTGCACTAGATCTATACATTGTTGCTAACGGACCATAGGAGCGGTCTTTTTGGATTATTCACTTTTGGCATGACCTTAAGCTCCTTACAACTGGGCATGTTTAACCTCTCCACAATCGAGAACATCAATCGCCATTCGGCTGTCTGGACCCTAGCCATCCGCGTGCCCAATCACGTCCTGGCAAAACTTCATCCGGAGACGCAATGGGCTCCGACATTTCGCACCATCACATACCCTCTCCCATCCATGCCTCCTCATGCTGAACCCGGCACAGAATACCAGCACTATCCGCCGCCTACAGAGCAGCACGTGTTCGCCATTCTCCAGACCCAACCCGGCGCCAATCCCTTCGACCTAGGCAGTCCCATCAAGAACCTTCAACAGATCATGGGCTACTCGCTGTTCGACTGGATGCTTCCTCTTAAACACAGTCCCTGTGCGGACCACACGAACCAAGAAAGCACCTTTGCATTTGGTCCTGTGGTCTCAAGGCTCAAACAGGACGCGGGACTCGATTCCTCGATCGAGACCGAGGACGAGCTAGCAGAGCAAAGACCGAAACATAAACGAAAACGACGAAAACATAGACGTCGAGAGTGATCATTATTATCTATTATTATTATTATTATTTGGTCTCTTTCATTCCTTGTTTAGGAAATACCCATTGGAAAAGCCTCTTCATCCCATCGATACATCATCCCACCATCTCACCTACCTAGTCTATTATTCATGCAAGAATCATTGTATTTTGGATTTCTTCGACTTACACCTTATTCCATCTTCTTTCTCTCATTCTTGGATACTTCTTTCAGGAGTTTGATTGATCTGTTATTCACCCTTGAGAATCCTACTCATAACATAGTTAGGTTACATTACCCCTGGTTGGAAGTTAATAAATAAATAATTCGTCTTTTACGTTATTATTCCTCTACTGAACTTACTGGGGATGCGATTAGTTGTAGTAATCTATTGCAGCTTAATCAATTCCGTAGCATCTAGTATTAGTACAAACCTTGTGCAGCATCGCCGTCTATTCAAAGGTTATATATATCCTCTATTTTTTTCAAGGTACAGTAACCGACTTACAATACTCTATAGGGTAGATAACCAGTCCATTTCCCTACCTCTATCAACACTATATGCGTGTCTAACTAGAGCATGTGACAAAGAGCCTTCGAGCCAGGAACTTGATCTCAGCCGTCTACATTTAGGGATCATGCTCAAGCTGGCTGCAGTGCTCCGGTTTTGTTGTTTAGAGAAATTGCTGGGTTTCCTGTTGAAGCCAGATGGATGTGAGATGGGTTTGGGTCGGTGGAGAAATATAGATTGATATCCAATTCTAATCAAAAGTAACATCACGGAAGGAAGACAGAAGTCAGGAACAAAACAAAATGAGATGATAGTTATACAGAGGAAGAAGAAAGAAGATAAAGAGACAAAAAGAAAACAAAAAGAAAAAAGAAATAGATCATGAGTATATAAACCAATAGGAGAAAAGAAATCCAAGTCATGTCGAAGTATACTTTCTAGCCAGAAGTTGATGAACCATGATATGAAGACACAGAAGAAGACAACGAAAAATTCTAGCAAAGACAGTCAAGGGGGTATTCGGGAAATCGGACAGACGGAAGAAATATCAAAGAATATAATGAGCATAGGAAAAGGGTGAATGTAGCAATAGAATGTCCCCACACTTGTGACGACGGAAGGAAGATCGAAGAACATGAGGGGTAGATAATGGTTGTATCTGAAACAACTGTCGAGTCAAATATCTACTGCTCGGACAGATCATAGATGTTGTTGACACTGTTCATCTCAACATCTTACAGGACGAGCATTTTCCATGACCGCAAACCGTGCACATTCCAGAAGTCAAAGCGGGATTGCTTTCATTCTTGCATGAGCAGCAAACCCACCAGCCGGCCATTGAGGGCCGAGCCGAGTCCTGCGAGACTTGGGTGGATATTTGCGAGATCTGAGACATAGTGCGGATTTGGATAAGACGCTCTGACAACAGATGAAAGACGGAATTTCGTGGAGTGTCAAATGCTCGGGGCTTTCAGTACGGAGTACGGTCCGGTAGGTCTAAGAGTGGAGAGTTTCAAATGAAAGATATGGTTTAATGTTTGAAATAGGAATCAGATTTATCCAATGGTAGATACACTCGTTGACGAGCTCAGACTAGAGAAGAACCAACTTGATTGATGAGTTGTAAACCTGGAGAGAATCAGTTCAATTGGAAACGTTTTATATTAGTGTCGTGAGATGAAGAGAATGTTCCCCCTGTGTGCCCCGGATCGATTTCACCATGGGCGAGGAAGGGCACAAATAATGGGACCTGCTACCCATTTTGCCCTCACCATGGCACACCGGTGATGCGAGTTGCCCAAGTTCGTATCAGAGGATGGGAAGCCCTAGATGTGTAGCAGTTTCATTGTTACTGTGGCTAAGCCAGAACTTGCCTGGCCAATAATATATGATAGCATCGAGTCACGAAAGAGTTTTGCTTCGAGAAGCAATGGCTTGAGGGTGACACATAATATTGGCCTGTCCCGAGATAAAGTATAAGCTAAGCCAGGGGTAAAGGGTTTCTTTGCACTCGTGGCAGTGACCGACTTATCGCCAGTGTTGGAAATTGTAGGCTCAAGCAAGAATCATTCCTTGCACGTGTACTGGAGTACTATGCATATGCAGCAAAATGCCCATTGCCCGGCGTGAGCGAGCCCTAAGGCCAACCGGGCTGTGCCTTTGTCACGGATCGAATCGTTTGCCAGACTCGTAGATTATAGCGGGAGTATTTCCGGGAAAGAAGCCGTGGCGCGATAAATGCAACTTGAAGGGTCAAGGGGATAAATCTCGTTTCCATTATCGATTAACCATTTCAAAATCTCCGAAATTTGGAAATGAAATCAAACTTGCTGAGTGGTCACAGAAAATCGTATGCTCATTATGCTGCAGGCACCAAACTCGATTCTCTCCCTTCCAACAAAGTCTGTATCATTAGCACGGTTCTCATTAGTCCTTACCGTCGCATCGCACATATACTACTGGCGATTGTAACTTCAATGTGCCCTCTAGGGCGTTTCACAGAGTCCATGTTAATTCAAAATCGCTCAAGATGACACAGGAGTCCTGCTGAGCAATGTCCCTTGATTGTACTTAGCGTCTCCGAGATGAGCAATATACAGACATCAGCATCTCGGCTAGGAGATGAGATCTTTTGCCCATGGCGAAGGGGGTCAAGTTAAGAGAAAAAATCCCGCAACCCCCTCTCCACGCCAGGTCCAATGTACGACGGCCAGAGTCGCATGAGTGATGCAGACAAGGTGGGGTGACAAGGGGGACGCAAGGAGCCTTCCAGATCCAACATCGTCGATCTCTGTTTCAAGGCAACCTCTAGGGCCCGAGAATGTTTTGTCTATCATTCTGGAAGGAGAATGAAATGGGGCAACTGTTCTCCGCTACCAATCAGACGCCTGGCAATGGGGCGAAGTGTGCCCGACTGCCCTCGGTGTATGTATCGGGCGAGGCAGATAATTCCTACCAAATCCCAGTTGATCTCGAGGCCAGAACCGCATGTCCGGGTTCATTTAGAAAGAACCACAGAGAATCAACCCATCGCCCTTTCAACATTGAATCTAGGTAGAGTGTCAGTCTCGTAGCTAGATAGATCGACGGCTGTTGACGGGTGTCTGCATACGACCATGCCTTTACAGTTCCTAGGGGGCGCTTCTAGAAGATCCCCAACCCCACTGGTGGCATGCGGGTTCCTTAATTTCACTCGTGATGGATGATGGTTCCAGTCCAACCCACCGGGAGAATGCCGAGTGTAACGGAGTAAGATGTTCATTCAACGGGATTGGATGATGTCATGGTCTCAGATTCCACATCCCCCCCCACCGACATTATGCCAAAAATCGCACCCAGACGCCGAAAGTGGAGCCGAAAGACCGGGTGCTTTGCCCCTTGGGCCTTGGATAACCGGAACTCAGCCTTCGTCCGGGCCAGTAAGAAAGAACGAGAAGGCAAGCGAGTGAAGCGAATGAAGCCGACAGCTACATCATTGAACCAAACATTACAAAGCGGCCACTAGCAGCAAGTGGAGGAGAGCAGCGGTGGAGACAAGACGCGGTTTGCAGGAAGCCCGTCAGCCGTGGCAGACGGACTGCCTGGTTAGCGTTGGGCAGAAGACAGACGCTAGACCCGAAGGAGAGGACAATTCGAGAGCCTCGTGATGCTGGGACTGCGAGTCAAAAAAGAAGCTCGAGTGGGTGGCATTCATCCGAAGGGTTGAGATGAGAGGAAGCGATTGAGTTGCGGCGATGAAGAAAGACGAGGCCGAAGGAGAGAAAAGAGAAGGGGGGCGTGACCGGAGAATCACCTGATGGGCGCTCCGGCATCTTGTCCCTCCGTTCCTCCCTCGCCCTCTCTCTCTTTCATCTCGGGCGTGGATACCTTCAATGGATACTGGGTAGGTTTCATGGAACGAAGAACGGCTCCAGACGGTTGTTGTCCAGACGGAGGCCATCCACGGTTACCCCCGACCATTATACCAATCCACTCTTCCACCTCATCTTGCCAACCTTCGGCCGACCAGCTCGGGCAATTAAAATGGACGGAGACCTACTGGGGCGGACGTGTATCCAGTCAACACTGCTCATTGGACAGGACGGGCTGATTATTGCCTCTTTCCACTCTCTTCTCCTCCGCTCTTTGTCAGCCATCTTTCGTCACTGAGAAAAGCCGTTGTTGGAGTTGGAAGTTTCATCCATCAAGATTGCTCAAGATTCAATGTTCAATCAGAGTCCCTGACCTCGAAAGCTTCGTTCCTATCATCTGCTCTCTGACTCGGTTCCTCTCGACCCCTCTTATCCTTTCGGTCCCCCTGAGATCCACCGTCTCGTCTCTTATTCTTCTGGTCTGGAGCTTCTTAAGCCGCTATCTTTCCCATCATCGCTCCGTCGGTCGGCCTGTAGGATCAGGCATCCTTTCTCGCGGCGTTTACAATTTCTTTCCTTTTTTTTCTGTTCCTCTTTTTTCTTGCCCCTCAAGGCTATTTTTATTTGGTCTTATTTTTTGCCTTCGTCATTCTGGCCTGGTGCCCGACGAACATCCCCAGATTGCAATTTTCTGTCTAGTTTATTTTTCCCTCTCCTTTTTCTTTAGGTGCCATTTTTTATTAGTACCCTTCATCTTTGTTTCCCACTCCATTTTTCCAGGCATATCATCCTTTCACATCCTTTGAGCCCGCCTGCACTGCCCGCAACCACCCCCTCACCGCATCTTACGCAATACTGCCAATCAAAGCATTGCGCATCAATTCGACCAGACCCTGTACTTCATACTCTCGCTGTCAGCAAGTAAGGGTTCGAGATGGGCTCGGCTGCACGTTACCGACCCATGTCTCCAAGTGGCTCCCGTATGATTGACCCTATGCGAGCGTCCACTGGCACGGTGCAGCTCAGCTCTCCGTACGATGTGCCTGCCAGTCGCCATGGCTATCCAAGCCACCCTTCCAATGTCCCTTATACGAACTCCTACGAGCCTCGACTAGCAAGAGAACCGAGATTGGAAGCTCAGCCGGTGTCGTCCAAGACTTA